TGTCAAGAAGGGTCTTCTATGAATTCGGGGCCGATCGACTTTGGCATGTTTTTTATTTGAGGATATTGCTTAAAAAAGGTTATTGCGATGGGAGTGACCACTATATACTATATCTGGCCACAGAGATTTTATTTCTGAAAAAGACTCTCCATCAGTTTTCGATTACTCCGTCACCCAGATCCCTAGCTATTCTTTAGCTTTGAATTCTACTTTAAAATGAAAATACCATATTCGTCAATCGTCATCATCCGAATGCCTCAACACATTAACAGGTGAGGATACTGGAGGATAAACGGGTAGGATAACGTAAGCAATATACCAGCTAAGCATGTCAAGAAACTCATCGCAAACTCGTTTTCTCAATATACGATAGCGCCTTGATCGGTTCATATGGTGAAAATCCTAGACCACTCATAATCTCATTCGTTAATACAATACAAGAGACATTCAGGGAATAAGATAAGCTCAATCAACAAGAAATACTGACATGTAAAAATCACCAAAGTTGGTTTTCCCACTAATGGTAAACAAACGGTGGAGAAGTGATGATACATAAACTTTTCAGTATCACGTTTCCAAATGCTTTATATGTACATCTATTATATATTTGTGTGTGTGTCACCTGGTTTTGACCTCAGGCCCATGTCGTGTGGCTGCCCAGCCGTTAAAAAACAAATTGTGGAGTGGGGAAAGCAACATCTGCGACATATACATCATTCCCAGCAGCAAACAAGGCTCTTGCCTGCTAGCACAACTCATTCAATGGACGTTGCACCAATTAGATGTAGTCTCTAAACCATATATATGCTCCCTGGATATTGTCCTTTGTCTCTCTATCTTTAAGTATTGCTAATTATTTCAAATATAAAAGGACCTAGTTTCTGTTCTACACGATGTAATCTCTTGAATTTGTTTATCGGTAAATACTTAGGGATTTAACCACTGAACTTTTGTTATTCCTAATGTGTTTCAATCAAGAGAGGTAAGCATAGAAACACTAGGGTGTCTGTGTTTTGTTAGGTCAGAATTAAGGATCGTCCGGATTTGATCCATGAACGAACGAATTATATGTAAGCTCATACAAAACATTAGTTTCGGCTATAGCTAAGAATTACACTATTATTCTTCTAATTACCAAGATTACACTAGATTAAACAAAACAATACTATTCGTTGGGAATCCGTTCAAACTTATATGTGTATGTAGATATATATAAACATTTCTAGGCTTCCTATCTTATTTTAACCACAGATCAGGAGCAGCGCTACACGGTTATGCAGCAGCAAAATTCAAAATCAACAGAAGTCTTCACCAATTCATTCATGAAGCCGATCGACTGAAGCCAAAAGCCACTGATTGAAGGTCATCAGCTTCATGAAAGCCCCACTGCTTGCTGTTTGCTTGCACGTCATAGGACATGGAGTTAGAAGCAGTCTCATCGAAGCTAGAAAATGAGATGCTTTCTTCCAGGGTTCCTGAATTTTCATAATTCCCGGTAGGGCTTAGATTCATGAAAGGATTGCTACTGCTACTCCCATAATGTTGTATTGTTGTCGAGGAATTATTAGATATGTTAGGAAGAAACTGATGAGGCCCTGCTGTGTCGGAAGTTTCGGTCTGGAACCAACCATGAAGGTCGTGAGGGAAAGTAGTAGTAGGTTTTCCACAGTACTTTTCATTAGGGTTTTCAGTGGCAGAGGCATTAAGAAAGTTTTGAGCTGCTTGTTCCCTGAGATAAGCTAGCTGTGCTTGTAAATTGACCACCTACAAACATCAAAAGGTAAAGTTAAGGTTTAGCCTTTCAATTACAGACAGAAATTTCCAGCGTAATTCATGAGAGAGGAGTGAAACCTGCTGTTGGAGGGCGAATATATGAGAAACACAGCCATAGATAGGATCCTGGAGCCTAGCTTGAGCTTCGTAGGCGATTGTGACGGCGGCTTCGCTCCGGTCACTCACAGGGAGGTGAGCAAGGAGCTTGGAAACATTGCTTGCACCAAACACCTTATGAATGGCTGCAAAATGGGTAGCTCCTTGCTCATGGCAAAAGTAAGGTGCAAAAACACAACCTCTCACACATTTCCTCCTCAAGAATTTGCAGGCTCCACAGGGAGAACCAGAGCCAGTCATCTTGATGAAGTGGTTTCTAAGGGATTTCTCTGTTGTTTCTGGCTGATGATTTCTTCAGCTTTGTGCGAATCACAATCATTAAACACCATCTTTTTATACAGAAGGGCAAGAAGAAGGGGTGGATTAGAATAAGGAATAATTAAGTACATTAGGTTCCCTTAATGGCCTACAGTGTTCATTGTTTTTTCTCCCATATAAAACACTATCATCAACCATTCTAAAATTTTATTCTCTGATAAACGAGATTCCTCTCAGCGTCATTTCCTTAGACGACAAAAGAACTCGAATTAACCAAACGCATATCTGTTTGCTTGATGATTGGATCTATCTTCTCCTGTTCTTTGATCTCCGATCGAATTATACATGTACATTAATTAATTAGCTGTACTAGCACCTTACATGGGACACCCCACCCCAAAGTATATATTAATAGCGATGCACGTATGCTTGACAGAAATATATGAGAAAATAGAATCACATACCTGGTTCATAATTGTTTACAGATTAGTAGTTAATTGTTACAGCCTTACTGTAAGATAACTCATCATTTAATTAATAATGTATATGTTGATTTCACTCTTTTAATAACATCTTAGTATCTGCCTCACGCTTGGAAGCGACAAGATTATCCGACATCGTGTGCCAAAGGATTGTTCTAAGAATGCTCCACGTACGCATGAACGCAAGAACTTTTCTTCCTTATTGCCGCCTATCACATAATCTATGTGATCATATGATATTATTAGTTATATGTAATTCCTCTATTTCAAAATAATTGTCACTTTACAATTTTACTTTTGTTTGGAAATAGTCATCACTCATAATTTTAATAAATATTAATATTTTTGTAAAATTTTACTCTTCAGTGATATAGGTGGTTACTATAGTGTTTTGATGCAAAGACATTACTTGCTTATTGTGAAAAGGGAAAAAGGGGCCGGACACGTGCTTAAATGCGTCCCCTAGCAGGGGCCTAAGTACATTTATACTGTATGGGTTGTCTGATTTCGTTATAAGTCACTGGTCTGGTCTTATTTATGAATTATTTTTAACATGTTTCATGCAAATCAAGAGAAATCTTAAATTTATTAATTTATTTAAAATTTAACAACTTTTTAACTTTGCTCTATTTATATAAATTATACTTCATGTACACAAAGTCAGCACAATAATAATGAAGGATAAAATTGTATATCTACACGAAAAATTTCTCTTACTATCCTATAAATTAAAAAAAAAAGTCTTCTCTTTCTATCTTTAAACAACCAGAGGGGTAAACCAAAACTAGAAAAATGAGATAAAACGATTAAAAGGCTTAATTATTCTATGGGTGTTGGCGCAAATTACTATGGTACGTGGACTGACATAAAGAGCAAAGTAAATTAGGCCTACAACTTTAAGAGCAATATTGGCATCTCAGATAAACAAGTTCAACCCAATAATTATCCACTTAGACATAACTATGAAAGGAAGCTTTTAACTGCCTCTTGAAGAGAGTCTCTCGAGGAGGCTAGTGGGGATCGGTGTTTTCAGTGAACAGACACTGATATGTTAATTAATGACATTGATTAGAAATTAAATAAGCTACAAGTTACAAAGGATCAACATTTCCGGGTGGGTTCTTGTTATGAGGATAATAATTGTCCCGTTAGCTATGTCCAGGTAATCAAATCAAAGTGCTTTTTAATAAAAGGAATCATCAGATTCCCAAATATCGGAAGAAACAAGGGATGAAGACACTAGTTTAGAACACGAGAGGAAGTGAGAGAGAGGGGATGGGGGGAAGGAGGGAGAGAAGATATTGTTCCCTCCACGACTAGAATTGTTTAAGCATCGGAGGTTGCAGTTTGTCGATCAATACATCAGTATAATTATTCATTAACAAATACTCAGTGTGTGTCTATACATATAAATATATATATTCTCAGTCATGACTTTCAAGTCACTTTCCAATGTCTAGTAAAAGGACCAACATGTAGACCTCACTCAAATTGTGATCAGGCCCCACCCTCGCAACCCTAGCTAATAATGATGCCCCAACCATAAAGCCCCAAAATGAAAAGGGGTTTGGACAAATAAACGGCCAGAAATATAAAAAGGGGAAAACCACTGAGAATACAGCCAAATAATTAAGGATTCGGTATTTAATTTGCATATACCAATTTAAATACTGATCTATAGACAACCGGTTAATTTGCTTGACGGAAAATGGCTCGCATGCCAGCATTATATACTCTCGTCTTCAAAATTTACAGAGGACAATTATTCCAAATCCCAACCAGATTAACACACACACACGTGTGTGTGCATATATATTCTACTCATATGGTTTGCCCTACACACACAGTATCATTATATATCCGTCTAACCTAATTTCATCTAAACAGCTTGCTGAAGGACAGCTGTTGACCCAGACCTCTAAATTGGAATTACTATCAGTGATTTCGCAAGTCTATAATATACACAACCGGACCCTGACTCCTTCACCCGTATCTTGCTCAACAGTGTGACAGACTCGGATCGTGCGGGTCTCAATCATCACACTGCCACATTATATATAGATTTTGCTGGATCAGGGTCGCGTACGTCAAACATCACCGCATATAACTAAGATGAAAAATCTATCCGCAAGGCAGAAAGTGTCCAGGAAACTTGATCTCATTAGAGCTTATAGGAACCATTACGGGGCTGTCCTGTTCGTGACACTTGATGAAATAGATCCGTAAGTACAAACTCACGTTTTTAACCTTGCATGGTCTTAAAATGAAAAACCATGCATCACCTCTCCGGAATGAGAGGAAAAACTTCTGGTAATCCATGCCCTTGTTTGCCACTCACTCGTTAGCGACAAGCTATAGCAAGAGTGCCCTAGGCAAATTTACCCCATTAATTAGTCCCTGCACCATTCATTATATATGTATCTTCGTTAAACATTAACCACGGATGGTGTAAATTAATAGTACTATTGCAAGAGGGACAGCATGAAAAGTTTCTAATTACATTATATTAACCCTCACTTTGGCAAGTATAATTAATTGAGAATTCCTCGCAGAACAGTGGCACACAGCCTTTTGCCTTTGCACAGCACTAAAAGGCTTAACCAAGCGTACGTGGAAGACAAGTCGCGCTGTCCGCTTATATGCTTTTAATTAGTGGCATGTAGCCAGCTCTGCTAGTTTCGTATGGACTAATAAGCGTTTAAATCTGAGTGTTTTCTTAATTCGACGGGGAAAGATGAGCATCTTCGTCCAGCTGACATCGAATTTGATGTGGATTTCATGGTCTTCCCATTCGAGAACACATGAATTCTAAATGACTGACCAACACACTTTAACTTATTCTTCTCTTTTCAGGTGTACGATCACATGACACTGAGTGGATCATCACCACAAATCTCATTCATTTAAATATTTATTTGATTCCTCTTTTCCAATGTTGTAAATTATTCATGATAATCCTTTGTCCATTAAGACGACAAACCAACATCCCCAAAACGAAGGAGTTAAAGAATATGATATTACGGCTGTTTTTTCCCCAATTAAACGCTATATATATGATTTAATATTTACGCTAGTGGGTGATAACTCGAATAATTATATAATCTCCCTCCAATCACTACTATAAAAAACTTTCTGCGTGTTCCAATATAACAAGTTTTGTTTAGAACATTAATTTTGCCCATTTAATACCCCTAATTAATTACATAAAATAGCTAGTTATTCAAATCAAAACTTAATAAAAAAAAAGGGACCTGATGATGAGATCAGATGCTGAATAAACCTCTTAGGAATCACCTAAATTTCACAGCAATATTATAAATACCATTGATAAATATATTTATGGTAATAAAAGTACGATATATATGTGGTGAAAAATATCAGCTTTACATTTACCAGTTGCTTAAACACTTTCAAGCTCACGGTAAATTTAGCATATATAGTATAGGCCGGCTAGTTAACGTTGTTTGATAACGAAAACTAGCGATGAATAATAAACTATATATCTGAAAGCATGAGAAGGTTCTCTGACCATACGTATATGTATGTCTTTAGCTGGTACATAATGTCCCACAGGTCACCACCAATATCATTTTGTGTAGAAGACGATTTAATTTGAGACCAACTCTGGTGCATGTTCTGCAAAATTTGTACGGGTGATGAAATATAGCGAATATATATATATTTATATATATATAAGGAATTGGTGTTGAGTTATTTTGTGGACTGGCATTAATAAACTGGAAAGGAGGCAAACGTATACACTTTACAGACGAAGATGCATTCCACTACCTCCAGCTGATTTTGTTTTGGCTGTGTCCAGAGAGGCACCCCACATTTCTTCTGCGGATGAGGCACTGTTTTTTGTTGCTATTATATATAGTCAACCCACTTTAATTATTGCCACCATTATCTCTGACAATTTCTTGTCTTTCATTTCTAGTTTTTGCTCCGTGAAGTTGAACACCAGTTTTTGTCATTTCTACACACTTAATTACGTGTTTCTTTTTCCCTCTATATACCTGTCCCTCCATAGCCACAGTTTCCGCAATCTGACAAGTGGATTAGATGTGAATACATACATTGGACCATATTCTAAATTATTTATCGAGTGCAATTAATTTTTCACATCACGCTCAGTGTTTTTTTATTGTAAAAACTAGATGATTTATTGATGTTGATTCGTCGGGAAGATAGAGGGCGATGAACTAATAATATATTTACAGTTTAATCAAGCTTCTTAAGTTTGAGAAAGCACTAATGATTGAGGACTGTGCTGTTCTTAACTTTGTGCCTGTGCGGCTTCCGCCCCAGATCTTCTTTATTAATGTGACTCTACAATCTAACAATCAGAATTAGAATCTTCAAAATATAAAATAAAACCAAACCTTTGTGCGTTGGTCACTGTCACAGGAGAGGATTGGGCCCTATATATAAACCGCCATGTCATTCGTGCTGTGCCTAGATTCTAAAGTAAACTAAATCATGGAGTAATCGCAACACGATAAAACAAGGGTCAGCGTATAAGTTCTTGAGTATTTGAATCACGTAACACAGCCAATCCAAAATGACAATTATAAAGAAAACGCATAATTTGAAGTAGACTCATTCTATCTACAAGTAAAAAAAAAGTATTGCGGTTATGAACTCGAGAATTGAGATGTGTAAATAGAAACTGCCACCTGGGTACAAACTTTTATGCAGTTTTTTCATTTCTTCTTGGTCCACTACTATGTACATGACTTCTAAAGCATAACTATTATGATCATCTATATGCACATGTGGGTGTGTGGGTGTGTGGGTGTATACTGACTGAATGCGCAGATTTAAAACAAAATCAGCATTGGTCTTCGTACTGAACCTGCCTTAAGCAGGCCAGCTTATAAATTTATCCTCCTTAAACCCAGATTTAAAAAAGTATTTCATGATCTTGGATATATCACAAAATATTTTAAGATGCTAAATTCAAAAAAATATTTTGGGGTGCTAGTGCTTCTTAACCTTTTTTTAAAATGCTCACATCGCATGCATTATATATAAAGACAAGGTGGTTCACACAGGCGGATAATTATAGGAAAGGACCGGTGGCCTGGAGGATTAGCTCCGTGCTGATTAGTAAATACGCAATGTGGAAGTGGATTTAGAAAGCCACTGATCTTTATTATAAGTTTTAAATAATTAATTTACAGGTAATAAATAATTAGTTAAAAATAATAAATAGGTTAAAAATATATTTTTGTTTTTAAATATGTCTTTGTAATAAATGACAAAAAAAAAGAAAGAAAATGTGTGGAAAAATGTGATAAGAGAGATTATAACAAGAGAGAGAATAAATAATTAAGAGTAAAATTAGAAAAAATGTATTAAATGCTAAGATAAATATCAAATTGAAGTTTATAAAATGAACTATATTTTTTTTTTCAATTTGAAGGTTATAAATACGATTGGAAGAGGAAGTATTTTATATTAATAAGAAGCTAGGCATGGAAGAAGAAGCTGAGGTGGAGAGGAGCAGTGAATAGATAGTGATGTTTACAGCAAGCGCGGCTTGCAGTTTGCAGAGGGAGAGCGAGGAATGGACATTGGTCGGTCAAATGGTACGTAGAAGACAAAGATGGCGGGCAGACAGACAGCGCATCACAGACGTACGTGTGTTAAGACCGGTCAAACCGACACCGAGTGGGCCCGCTGCACGTGCATGCATGAATTATTGACGCTCCTGGCTTTTATTCTTAATTTATCCCCCCGTACTTAACTCCTCCGTTAAACCTATTTTTAATGTGAGGCGTATATAATGTAATTAACCAGATTTTTGAATTCTAATAATTACAGAAACCAAGACCATATCTCCAAAAAAAAAAAATGTCCGCAACGATGAGACCTAATAATACCAACTACGTACAGAAAAAACAAGAAGTTGCTGAATGATTGAGAAACATAAGCTAAAAGCTTCATTTTCAAGTTTCAAAATTAATGATAATAAAAATGAATGATATAATTATAGCACAGGTTTGGTAGCTTAAATAGACTAATTTGTCCGCGGGATACTTGAGTATTTACTATTTAAAATTTGATCGCATGTAGTCTGAAGAGGGGGCAGTTGTTCAAAGCAGAACCATGAAATAAGGACTGGTTTCATCAATTTATTAGGTATGCGACATGTTTAATTAAAAGCAAAGAAATTTCTTAAACAAATTAATGTAAAATAATTCTCTCTTATTTAAAACCACTGTTTATGAATCACTATAAGTTGTTGGCATTTGGTTCTTATGTTATTCTATTTTCTCGACATTTTTCTCTATATTTTTTTTTATTAAAGTGTAGGTATTCTCCTGTATTTTTTTAATCTCATGCATTGTGCTCCATACTTCGTTACCAGTTGTAAACAACTGATCCAACATGGGAGCGTTGTGATATTTTATTGAGAGGCCAAACGCAGTTTTTTAATTTGAATATTTCAAAACCTGCATGCTTTTTTTTTTGGGGGGGGGGGGAGGTCATTTAGTAAAAGAGAACATGCGTGAAAAAAATGTCTAGTTATCTACAAATAAGAAACTGCAAAATTGAAGTGTATAAAAAATACCCCTTTGATCATTAACATAAGACCTATTTAACTAATTGATTAGATTAAAAAAATTAGGTAAGTTAGTTAATTATAAAAAATATGATATGTTTTTTCTAAAACATCATAATCATCTTTCTTAATATTTTTTATCCCTCTTCTACTTGATTATGGTTGAGAAAATATTCATAAGGGTAGAAAAAATTAATAAATATGAAAAATAAGTCTTATATTTAAAATCAAGATCAATACAATAATTAAATCTTATATTAACAACTAGAGAATATTTAATAAAAGAGGGATAGGGATGGGTCGCCGCCAACCGAAGAAATTTTATGAGGCAGCAAATTCACAAAACCTAATGCCCCACCCATTTTGATGATTGTACTCATCTACTCTTCAGGCACTTGCGTTACCCTATCATTCATCAACAAAAAGCAGAGGAGCTGCCATGTTGATTATAACCAATCACCCACAGTATAAGAAACCGTATTGTTTACTGTAATATACAAGCTGTGAATTGAAAGCTTTGCTGCTGCAAATCAGCCCCGCAGAATGGAAGCTTTAATTTGTGTGCGCTACGAAGCTTTAGATGATGCTGCCAGCAGATACAGACGAAATTTCCATAGCGGTAAAATATAAAAATTGCCGATTAGATCACCAAATAGGTTAGTTCCCTGCCTTTACCCAATGACCTAGGCCGGTAATGATGCTCCAAATTCCATTATTAATACTTAATTGCCCTAGCATAACAACAAAAACATTGCCCTCAAAAGCTTTCCTTCCCTTGCTCTTTAATACCCCAGCTCTTAGTGGATCCTCCCCCCTTTTAACTTGATCCATAGGTTCTCAATAATTTATTATCCTATTCCTATTCCCCCAATTCTGTAGGATTCATCAACAGCACTGAAAAGAACATGGGCCTATTTCAAGAACGGTTGTCATTAAAAAAAAAAAAAAAAATCCTCAGGGCCGCTCAATGACAATGCAACCTCGCATTGCTTTATTCTTCCATGATTTGGTGGAGACAGATAATAATTGTAAAAAACTGTGGTAATTGAAAAGTAATTATGATGGAGATAGGGATTAGAAAAAGTATAATGTGGCACCATAAAAGAAGATATTGCATGACGGGCTACTAAAAGACATATTACAGCTGTTTTAAAAGGCTCAGGTGAGATAGACCGTCCACTTAGACATCCCTGAACCACATAGTAGAAACTTTTCTTCAATCATTTGAATTAAAAACAATTGCCATTTTGTGCAGTCAGATCACTCCATGACAAACAAGCTCAGTTCAAATCATCATCATCATTCTAGCCAAGCAAGACAAGCAAAGGTGCATTGTGAACTGTGACCGCTCAAATATATCGACATGATGATTGGTGTATCACATCAGAGGCGAATCTCACCAAATAAAGGATCGCAAGCACACTAATAACGCGCCTGGAACACTATTTTCGTGCGTCTTATAGCTTACCATTTAGCCATTCTATACAAGCTATATTTTGTTGGTACATTCCATAGCTTTATAAATTGTCTACTGTACCGTGCCCTACAGGATATTAGTAGTTAAAGCAAAAGAATAGGTACAATTATCCATTATTCTTCCTTTTTGTTCACATGAATTCATGAACTTGCCATACTATGCAGTCCCTAACACCTGATCTGATTTCTAACTACATGACAGCAAAGCCAACATCTATATTTTCAAATTTTCGCAGCATCACAATAATAAATAAATAAAAGAATATTAATAAAAAGAAAAAGTTCGTTATCCGAAAATACCTTCCTCACCACACCAAGGCAAACCTTTAAGTACATCTCGTAAAGCATAATAATGGCTGTCGCATTTGTGGTCTGAGATCAAGTTGCTTGAAAGGATTATCCTCTGGAAATGCTCGCCAGGATGCCTCTTCAGTAGGGTGAAATATTGCTTTCCGCCTTCAGTTTGGGAGGCCGTGTTCCTTTTCAGACAGTAAACCATCCCGGGTATGAATAATTCCTCAGGTACCTTAGACTCGTCTCCCCGAGTTTTCATGGCAACAGAAGTCTCCTTCTGAATCACACGGGCTCCCGGAGCAACTGGCGACTCCTTGCCTTTGGAAGCATCTGTTTACACGCAATATAGCTTACATCAGAATATCTAATTCCATAAATAACCGCAAAAACAACTTTAGTGTACATTTTTTATAATTATTGGCAATTTAAACTCAGAATGATGTTTATATAATGTAACGACAAGAAAGACTGCAGACTACTGGCTTGCAGACTATTTGAAGTTCGACTTCGACTCAGGTTTGTGATGGCAATTCTTGAGGTTAGTCACCTAGGCTTGAGGCCCTTGGCTCAATTCGCAAGTGTTGAAGCAGAGCTGGGTATGTTTCAACTTCTAGATTACCACTCTGGGAAACTCTGAGCTAGCACAGAAAGGTCAATGGCAGCTTACCAGTTAAATTTTTGTTTCTCCTGAAATTTGCATAATCAACAAATTTGCGAGCCACATCTTGAACTGACAATACGACCTGCTTCGCATTTGTAACCAAATCTATGATGCTTTTCCAGTCTTCTTTTTCAATTACACTCATCCTATACAAGACAAAGCTTGAGTAAATCATTTGTTTGCTAGCCGTAAAATACTTCTGTAAAGTGCCAGGCTGCCTGCTACAAAAACAGAACAGTTTTTTTGGCTGCCAATAAATTATACCTCTTCCTTAACGTATGGGCTATTGGTAAATGGCCCCCTTGCAAGGAAATTAATGGACCGAGAACAATAAAATTGAAGAACAGTTACATAACGAACTGAATATGATGCATCAAAGCAAAAGGCGCCTCTTTAACAACTCCCTTCTTCAGCATAACAAAATATGATTATTAAAAATTATAGGAGACGAGGAAGAACCAAATAAACCAAAAAGCTTCGGGTCCAAGTTTGAAAGTGCTAAAGACTTTTGATATATTGACAGAGGCATCCCCCACCCTCTGTTTTTCTTCTCATGCAGGCACCGGCCAGTACTTGCACAAGGAAGATAGAAAAGCTGCTATTGATTTGTATTGTTCAAGCATTATAAGCTGCAATTAATTCCTTCGAGTTTTTAGCACCTTCTCTTGGACGAAATGGAGGGAGGTCTTGCTTGTTATAAGACTAAAGTAATTTTTCCTTACCAATCAGTTTGAAGAATTTCATTTCTCAGCCTTGTTAGGGAAGCTACACTTAACCTAGGTATAATGTCGTCCTGCATATAATCAAAAACCAAGTAGTTATATACCCATGGCGAGAGCTGATAAAGACAAAAACTGGGAAAAGACTCTGGACTCATATTTGTGCGTATGCATGCGCCAATGAACAAATACCCACCTGCATGACTACTGTTGTTACATAGCTAGAGCAGCTTTCGGCAACTTCTGCAGATACGCATGGTGGAGCACCAAATCCAACGGCAGATACAATATCAGGGCTAAAACCCAGCTCCTTAGATGATCTTCTGTGCATCATTATTGCTAATAAGGAAGCTATAGCACCTCCAAGAGAATGACCCACTAGTCTTAACCTAAATCCCTGTTAAAGAGTTGGTCACACTGACTAAATTAACAGGTAAACTACAAAAGGAGCTTCAAAATTCAAAAAGAGATAATTAAATGAATTACACTAATCTTCCTGATTTTTTTTATATATGTCTTATTATATACATAAACCTCCCCAGTAATGTAATTTCACTTGTTCAAGATGATGTGGAGAAGATTAATGTATACAAATGCAGGGAATACAGGCATAGGTTTTATAAATGTCAGCAGAGAAGGTCATTGCATAATATGAAACTGGACGAAGTGTTGGTTACACAAACTCAGGGAGATCAATATAATTTTTTCAATAAAAGTTCAGGACAAATCCCACCTTATGTTTCTCCAAACATTGCCTTATGGTTCCAATTTCATGATAAAGAAACCAACGAGCAGATTCAGCAGTTCCAAAGTGGGTGGAATAGCCCTCAAAGGTGACTTCACCATCACTTGAGGAAACAACATCAGTGATAAGGTCAGAAACAGTTTGGGTGCCACGGATGCAAAAAATAACAAGTTTCTTACGGGTATCAACCCCTATATAATAGCCAGGCCTCATAACACTGGAACTTTTAACAAACTTCAAGACATTACTTTCTCGGAGCATGCTGTTCCTTGCAAGACCAGCAGCATTATCCCTATAAGCACCTTTAGCCAACTCAAGATAGTATATAAGATCTTGAACCTGAAATCCAACGAAATTTCCTAATAAGAATCAAGAGTGTGTCATGCCATAACGACTTGCAATGACAAGCCAAGAGTGCAAAATAAATAGATAACTATGCCAAATGGACATATTTGCTCTCTGAAATACAGTTTTAGAAATTACTATTGATTCTGATAAGATCTGGATGCCTTTGATATCTTCGAATATATTTCCAGAAGCCTGGCGAAGATATACAAGATATAAGCCAATCGTAAGGTCACTCAAACTCCAATCCTGGATTCCGACCTTGCTTCGTTGGATTCTTGTAATTATTTCCAAAAGGGATCGGTTGCTTGGTGGAGGATTCCTTCCATTTCTATAATTTTCATCTCCTGCATATCATTAAATGTAGACTCGGGCTTCAGTGTATAATAAGACAGATTCTCACAGACTCCACCTTTGGTATCTTCTTTTGATGTTAATCATACTGCAACTTTCATATATTGTAGAAATTAAGCCCCTCGATATTATCCCACAGGTTCCAAGTGCAAGGGGCCCAAGAAAGAAAAGAATAGTTTACATGATGCATATGATCAGTTATGTTCAATTTTACCAATGCAGTAAACTAAGTGATCTGTCAGTTAAAGATTGTTCGTACTCTGCAGATTAGAAGATTGATTCAGCATTCTATAAAAAGATACCAACAAGTAGTAACTATCTGTGTTGTACAATTTCATGAGATGAAACATGCTCTACAGTTAACAGACCTGATGGCAGAGCCCACCTACACAATTGCAGAGCTGGTTCAAGTGCCTTTGTGAGCCAAGCAAGCTCTAACTTCCACTCCCTATCAGCAGGATCTTCACCATCAGAGCTGTATTTGCTAACCCAGATATTGTTGTCTACCTTCTTCTCAAGAGAAGGTTCAGGTGTTTTGTCCATTTTTTTAAGTTCACCTCCTTCAACCTTATCTGCTATTGACCTGTACAGTTGATTCCGCTTAACGATACCGTGCATATGTTTCCAATATGGTTCCTCTTTATTGAGAAGCGCTTTAGTACAAGCTGCAAAGTGAATTTAAAAAACGTGAATATCCAGAATCCAGATAGTATTTATTAGAAGGAGAACTGTGCGCAGATAAATCATTTATATGATGGAGACTTTAGAGCTGAGTCTAGCAACTAGTCCGCAGAATATTTGGACACAATCCAATAAGGCATTCAAAGGATGCTGGTTCCTTACGAGGCCTCTCAATAAGATATATTAGAGGATTAAGCTCAAGACAAGATTGATCATTTTAACTGCGGCAAATTATGCAAAAATTGCACTCCCGATCCGGAAAATTCTGCTGTGAAATGTGAGAATTATCAGAGCAACCCACATTGCAGCAAAAATATATAGCAAGTCGGTCAAAGAGCAGGGTGTGTAAGAAGCCAAATGACCATAAATATTAATGCCAACATGGTTAAAGCGATTCTTGCAGGGAAAAGCAGCTTTCTTTCCAAAGGGGATTCATGCTTTCTAATATCAGACATGAGGTGCTTTAATCTTGCGGAATTTATCATCCGAACAACATAACCATTAATCAGGGACTCATGTTCCTGGGGGAAAAAAATGAAAGTAGGAAAAAATCCTAGTAATAAATTTGGCACCCTGTTGAAAGGTTGATCAAATCATTGGAATTCGGAAGAAATTCAGCACATTGCTTCCCGTTTACCGGTCATGAAGATTGCTGCTGTTAATTGCAGCATTATAAATCAAAGGAACCACAATAATAAAGCGGTGGTAATACACAAGACAAGTTGGAGAAAGAGGAATGGTGTTAAAACAGATATCAAGGAGGAAAAAAAGAAAGTTGAATAAAAGAAGGAAGGTGTTGAAGAAGGGCCCGAGGGGCAAGGAGAAAAGAAGCAGATGAACTTACATATATTATGGAGTACTCGCTTCAAGTATCGGCAACTCATTTTCAAAGAGAGGCTTTGACAATATCGGGTGTTTGTGTGAAAGTATCAGCGGACTAAAGGTGACGGCCGGGACATGGGGCGTGGCGGGTGAGCAGATTATAAGTTGGACTCATTGAACCGCCATAGCGGCGTTATAGGATAGACAGAAGCAGTAACTACACGCAAATGAACCAAATAACTCAACATATGAACAATACAGCAAATAGCCAAATACCCAGCGTCGCTCACGCAGGACGAGGGCAGAAGAACAGCAAGATTACTCAAAATATTACAGCGATTGAGCGGAGAGGACGGCCTGCCCCTGTCCCTCAGAGATGCATCTTTTTTCACCAAAAAAAAAATTTGCATAAATAAATTATTATTATTATTATTTCTAAATTTGTCATTTATATTTTTTGAAGTTATAACGTAGGAATGTCTTTGGGTTTTGAGTGTTATAAAAATACTATTTTGAATTTATTATTGGCTTTAAAAGAAGGCGGTGACGTGATATTTAAAATTAAGATAAATGAAAATTTTTACTATCAGTTTTCCTTAAAAAAATTAATTATTTATAAATAATGTAACCTTGAACCCTTTATGCATTTTATATTTTATGCTAATTAATGTTATTGATATCGATTATTTCTGATTTTTGATCAATTACCCATACAAGCCTGGCGCTGAGCTTGAAGGCTCCCCTTTTTTATTTGGGTTCAATTACAGCGTCTGTGACAACTGGTGCCTCCGGCCCAAAAAAATGTCACGTTATCATTTTGTGATCGGATATTGTTGTGGTGGACAATACCACTTTTCTTGGCCCATAATCATTATTGTGTTTCCATTAGGCCCAATTTCTTCTGGGCCACAATATGTCGTTGGCTTTTTGTTCCCCCTCTTGCATTCGCCTTACGGTGAATTTTTTTGGGCCAGCTTTATGGTGATCAGTCTTTCTTCTTTCACTCACTTGCAGTGATAATATTACCTCTGATCCTTTATATAAAGTTTTTTTTTTAATTTTTATTTTGATTCTAAAGATAAAATCTTAATTTATTTTTTCTCTTATATTTATTTTTTTAAGGTACTCTTTTTAATAATAGTAATTCTAGCCAATACACTTAATTAACAAGAATATTTCAGTAACAACAATATCTGTTTATTACAAATAACCAACTTAACTAGTTTTTTTAAACTATTCAAGTTAGTCAACTAACTCTTATATTAAGAACTGGAAGTAGTATATATATAACACATATATAATCCCCTTCTGGTTTGAATTTATTTCCTGGGCCCTGCCCTCTTTTGTACCAAAAATGAAAAATATATGTCTATAATATATAATTAAACATGATTTTTCATATATGATTCAAAATTCAAAGGATGAGTTGTATTATCAAGTGGCACCACTGACCATACATTTTATTATACTGATCTTATGGGAATTGATAGATTTTCCAATTTTAAAACACAGTTGACGTTCTGGCGATTGGACGCAGCTATGGTAATTACCAGAAAATTCGACGTCCAAAAATATACAAAGTAAATTGACTTTTATTTTTGCTGATATGATGATATTTTTACAATGTAACTATTTTTTTTTTTTGTTTTGGGGTAGAATCACAACACTTATTTTTTAATTCATAGTCATGCCATCATTATATTCGTTCGTACAATCATAACACGTGTATTATATAAACAAAATTATTCCACTGCCTGGGAAAAGGAAATGAGAACAACGAGGTGTGAGGATTAGGAATATAAACCGAGGATTAAGAATATAAACCGTGGCCCATAAATACATTAATATAACGTAAGTTTTGCTTTGACGTGAATTCGATTCGAGCTGGTGCTGGGAAAGATATCAATGATTAAGCAAGATCGGATCATATCCTTGGATTTTTTTAGTCATCATGAAATGGACGTAAATATAATAACACTAATTTTCATGATTCATACATTATATTGGTGGTACCCAAACATTTGATTCGTTGTTTTTTTAAGCCCTTTGCAACGTAGAAGCCTGATCAATGATTTGGTATGCATCAAGCGCAAAAGGAAACGACAAGTGGCAAGTATTGTATTGGCAGGAATCATGGTAGGGTCGCTTTTCGCGAAAGCGTCTTTTCTCTCGTAGAGTTTCCCTCGTACGAGCGTCAAATCTCTCCGATAGCGAGAGCCGCCTCACCCTCCGGCAACAGCCGAGGACATAGGTTGTGATCTATGAAGGTTCATTGGCAGCAACCGTTTGTGGTGCAAAAAGTCTGGGGATCAGAGAACTCGATCGAATAATCCTGGAAGACATTGGTGGTGTCAATATGTATGTACTGTTGAAAGATTACTTCTTGATTCGCAGAAAAACCCAACGGATAATTGGACCATTTGGCTGGAGGCTATGAAGCGACAAAACTTCCAGGTTATGTTGTGTTTATCATTTTCAATGGGAGTAACCCCAATAATGATGTTTAAAGAGCACCTGGCATGAATGTGGAAGAAGAAGACAAACATGAATTGGTGGCACATGTGACATTAATAATAACGGGAGGATCTAGAGGATACCAATGGACAAGCAACTGAAAACGATTGATAAAGAACTCACATTTAAGCAGACCCAACATTATGATGATTGGGCGCAGAATCCTTTTTATATGCACTAAAATTTATTAACACACACATGCATATATTAGTGGTGTTGGACCCCCCCGGGGGGCTCCGTCCTCTCTTTGTTCATATGGCCCCCATCCATGATTGATACTGCAATGTCGTTCTCACCGGAAAAAGCAAATATAGAATATATAACTGATCATGATTCAAAAGGGTTTACCATATACTACCTCCGATCCTAATTATAAGAGCTAGTTAACTAATTTGAGAATATTAACAAAAAAAGTTAAGTTAGTTATTTGTAATAAATAGGTGTTGTCTTTCTTAAAATATCCTTGCTAATTAAGTATATTGGCTAGAACTACCATTGTTAAAAGGACTATCTTGAAAAAAAAAACATAAATATTAGAGACAAAGTAGATTAGGGTCTTATATTTAGGACCAAAATAAAAGTTAAACGAAGTCTTATATTAAGGACTGAGGGTAGTATTATGTCCAAAACCCTCACTTATGCGTCCCACTTGAATTAATTACGTTACGTTGTCGCTTTTACTCCACACTACGTTCCAACCTCTATCTTATCTCCTCTGCTGCAACCAACAACTCTATCACAACATGGTGTCCCTTCATATTCACATCGTAACTTTCGTTTCTTTTTCTTATTTACTTCCTCTTTCTAAGTCTCGCTGCAGCAAATTAATGTGTTAACACATTAGAATCTGGCTACCTGCAAATCTGAATGTCTTCCTCTCACGAGCCCTTGCCGATAAGCTGATAGTGACAGAGCTAATCATTCAACACTATATTAACAACAGCTTCCAGGGTCTCGTCTGGCAATTCACTTTTGGCTTCGGATGCACAGGAATATAGAACCAAATTATATACACTGATGGCTAAGGTATTCTAAAAAGATTTTAGCTTACACTCAGCAGTCAAAATCTCTGCGGCATTTGCACTCGTAGTACGTAATTGGACAACACCCAGTAGTGAATGAAACATATATGCATGCCCAATGCGATGACGTGGGACGGTTATTATATATATAACTCAAGAGGTAAGTATATAGTGACTCGATACGTATTAGCGTGTAATCAAAGCTTAATTGAGGTAGCACATCTTTAACACGACAAACTGAACTGTAAAGACGGTCGTGACTTTTTTTATTTTTTTGTGGTAAATAAGACGATCGTGACTTTGATATTTAAGAAACAAGCGACACCGACATTCCTGCCCCACATGATTTTGAGCTTTCGATCGCCATCACTCCACTTTTCATGCCCGCCGTTTCATTACTACTGTGAAAGCCCCTACTTTTAAAACAGTAAAAGCGAGTTTGGGTGTCTTCATTTTGTTGGACTTGCACCTTAATATTATATCGGATCCCTTCATTAATTTTCTGACTAAAATATACCCACCGAAGGTCCTTCTCCAGTTTTTAAACACTTGGGTCATAAATGAACCCAAGTCAAAAACTCAAATGGCATTGCCTGCTTTAAGCCGCCAACATGCGCAATCACAATAATTTCATAACCACAACTGTTAAAAGTTCCTTGTGGTACGAGCGAAACCAGATTATTGTTGACCACGAAAAAAAATTACTGCACTCAGGCAAAAATCTAACAAAAGCATATCTCAAGATAATATTTTTTTTTTTTTTGGGTGTAGAGATGCTTGGCTCATTAAATTACATTAAATTAGCGTCGAAAGATCGTCTCTTCAAGAGACAGGCCAAAAGTGGGTATCTCACCATGCTGGCCTGTCTTTGCAACTTTAACTGCGTTCATATCAAGATTTAGGGGCATCTGTCCTGCCATTTGTATTTTTCTCCATTCAAAGTTTGGCATCTTGTACCGTTCATTGAATGGCCTCCTACGTCTCAAATTGAAGCAAGGCCTTCTTCTCACTTATCTCAACCTGGTTTTAACATCATGGAAGTCATGCCCATGGAAGAAGACGGCGCTGCCTATTACAGAGCTAAGGAAGTGAAGGAATTTGAAGAGACCAGAGCTGGGGTTAAGGGCCTCGTGGACTCTGGAATTGAAAAGCTTCCTAGGTTCCTCATTCATCCACCGGAGTCCCTCGCAAACTCTTCCGTTGCTGATGCTGCCACTACTTGCTTCCGTGTGCCGGTGATAGATTTCCAAGGGTGTGAAAGCTCTCGCCGGACAGAGGTTATCAAGGAAATTCGTGAAGCGTCAGAAACGTGGGGCTTCTTCCAGATGGTGAATCATGGAGTCCCAGTTCCTCTTATGGACAACATGCTTAAAGCAATCAGAGAATTTCACGAACAAGAAAGGGAGGTGAAGAAGGAATGGTATTCCCGAGACAGCAAGACACGAGTAAGGTACTTCTGCAACGGAGACCTCTTCGTCTCCAAAGCCGCAAATTGGAGGGACACCTTACTCTTCGACTTCCAGGACGGTCCCCTGAACTCCGAAACCTTCCCACAAATATGCAGGTATTTAATAGCTTGTTTCATACTTTCATATGAGCCTTAGACAAGAGTTAAACGCAGATGTTTCATCATATATATTGCAGAGAAACGGTGAGCGAGTACATTGAGCATATGAGGAAACTGAGAGAGAGAGTATCGGAACTACTGTCAGAGGCACTGGGGCTAAGGGCGGATTGGCTGGGGAGCTTAGGATGCATGAAAAGGGAATCATTGGTGTGTCACTATTACCCGCCTTGTCCCCAGCCACATCTCACATTTGGCACCACCAAGCACTCGGATCCATCGTCCCTTACATTGCTTCTGCAAGATAACGTAGGTGGCCTCCAGGTTCTTCATCGAGACCAGTGGGTTGACATAAACCCCGTGCCCGGAGCACTGGTGGCCAACATCGGAGATCTCATGCAGGTACATCGGTTTTCCCCCCCCCCCGGTGAAAACGACAATTTCTTTTATTCATGATTCCCTGATACTCTTCTATCAAAGTGATAAGATTATTTATTCTTTGAATCTTACAAAACGCAGTCATCACAAACTCCAATATGAATTGATTAAAACCATAAACTAACCGGGCATTCTGAATCAATATGGGAGAATCGTAACTGTTCTTCAGTTGCAACGTGTTAAAAGTAAGATCAAAGATTTGACATGACCTTTTTTTTTTTTCCTCCGACGGATTTGACATGACTATTGTTGTATGATTATTAAATTATTGGATATTATTCCATATATAAATTTTTAAAAAATACATATGAGTAGTATCTTAAAAAGAGAGTCGCTATCTGATATCAAGAAGGGAATGGAACATAAAAATAAAGATCTCGTAATAGCATATAATTAAAATTTTCATTTGTGTATTACTCTCTTGTTATTGAGCTTTTTTAAGGATTATATTTTCTATTGAAATTTCATAGTAATTTTTCCCTTTCAAAACTTCATAACTAATGAGTATGTTTATTATTAATATATGTTAAGATTTTGAAAGCTTACACGTATGTGGTTTTGTTTAATGCTGCTTAGCTGATCACCAATGACAAGTTCAAGAGCGTGGAGCATAGGGTACTGGCTGGACAAGTGGGCCCCAGGGTATCGGCTGCCTGTCTGTTATATCCAAGGGAGAAATGTAGAGCATATGGACCCCTGGAGGAATTTACGTCCACCATTGACCCGCCTCTCTACAGGGAAACTACCATCAGCGAGTACCTCGCTTACTACAGATCAAAAGGCCTCGACGGCAGCAAGACCCTCCCTCATTTTAGACTATGAGAAGGAATAATGAGCTGCCACTTAACTACTTTGTCACCTTTTAATATACTCTCCATCTCTTCTTTATTCACAATCTGATGCCTTGCATTTTAACTTTTTCTTTCCGGCCAACATGCCTTAGACTCGTATTAACGCTAGTTTTAAGATGCCTCAACGCATTGGTATATTTCTAATGTCAAACTCTTGAGCAAATATCATCGTCGCAATCCCACCAGCACCCAAGAAAAAAAAGTTGCCATCTTTGCCTCACTATAAAGGCTCAATATTTTACATCTTGATAAGGTTTGTTTTTTCTTCTTTCTTTACCCTACCCCATCGTGCATACCCACGCAGCTTTTTTATCTTCTGGGTCACGGAGGGGGGAGGAGCAGAAGATTTCCGACGTCATTACCAAGCGCGCCAAGAAGTTTTCAAGAACCAACCAGTTATTATGCGTGCACTGTACTCTTGGACTGCAGTATTTGAACAAGCGGCCACAATATATCCAACCTGTGCACATTTCTGTTGTTTTGGCCCTGTGACAAATCACTTCTCCTTATCAACCACTTGAAAATAAGCAAATGATTACAATTGTGAGCAGTTGCCCCGAAGAAAAAAAATCATCACCATATTCTGATCCTACCTCAACCACAAAACATATCCATGTCTTCTCACTTTGAGCTTCTGTTGCACCTTTCAAAATTGTCAGGCCCAAGCTCCTTATGGCTTCTGCTATCTCCAGAAAATAGCTGCACTCCTCACAAAGCATCTGCAGCATAAGCATAATTAAGAATATGAATAACATGCTCAGCAGCTGATGATGGCTAGGCATACAGTACACTATCTCCAACTCCTTGGTTTCTCAACAGAGCAGCTTCTTCCATGACACCGAGCAATTAAATTTCAAATCAATCATTAACAATAACTCGAAATTGCAACTCAAACTCAAACATACCTCGACAAGCACATGTCCATTCTTACTAAGATTCTCCACTAATATTGAATGAACTTTCAGATGACCTCCTACTTCCATTGCCCAGCTCGAACCCTGTTCATAGCTAGAGCATCCAGGAACAGCTGATTCCAAGTGATGCGACTGCAAAATAGTTTCCCTTATGGAGTTCAGAGATGGGAATACAGCATGTGGATACATTCTCGTTTTTAATTCGATTCTTTGGATGGCGGGGAGCAAATCAACATGGAGCTTCTGATGGGTAATCATCACTCAAAAAACTTGCCATAGCAATTAAATAAAGCCATAAAATCTAATCTTGCTATCTACACTAGTAGTTACGTAAAGGCATGAAATGTTGGTGAAAACTTTAAGATGGACAAACAGACTGAAACCAATTCATTTGTAGTTTAACGATAGCCTTCAAATATCACTTCCAAATTGATGGAAAATGGTTTGTAGTAAGTTAATTTCTACCTAGCACGTGGGCCAAAAGACAAACTATTGGAAATTTGGAATTACTAGAAACAGTACCTTTGCCTTTGAACCAGTAAATTTATTTAGCTTGTCAGCATGTTTAGTAATGCTCTGCAGAAAGAGCATGTGCTTTATTGTGCGCTCCAGTAGTGAATCAATACTGCACTGTTGAAGTTGCCACAATTTATTCAGCCACATTAAAGGAACCAAAACAGTATAAAGTCAAAATTAATCTAAACAAATTTGGGAAATGTACATTAAAGGCAACTACCTTTGCTCCATTTGGCACCAATTCTCTCAACTCCTTTATACGATCTTGGATCAGTTGTCTGTCCCTTGGCCTAGGCCTACCACTTTCTCCAGGCCTAGCCCTCTTCTTGCTCTTACCAGGCTCAGAAGATCTTTCAAACCGTTCACTACATGAACTAGGACACGACGATGAAGTCAAAGAGTGGAATATGTCCTCTCTTACAAGAGAAGACTCTATTGAATAGCCTTCTGAATTAATGGCTGGGGCACTGTGCATGGAAGCTTCAGGATTTCTTTCAGATATCATTGCAGCCTGCATTAATGCAGAGTATGATAGTTCATTGTTAATGTCATTATCACTATGACAAGCATTGACTACTATTGCCTCCAAAAGATGCTCCGGACAAGATTCATGAGTCAGCCGGCTACAGCTAATCTCATCTGGTATCTCCATCATTGTAAGATCTTCATTCACCTGTCCTTCAGAATCAAAATATCCACTTCTCACAAAAGCTGGCCCAAGGGCTTCGTGTAGCTCACAGCCAGCAGGGAAATTCAACAGTGTATTTGAGGTACTCATGTAAGAAGGTGCAGTCTGGAACTCTGAACTTTCTGCATCTTTTTGGGAGCTTGCATCTGAAGATCTGCGAAGAGGCAATGCCTCTTTCTGGCTAATATTTACATAACACAACTTATCACCTTCGTAAACAACATCATGAAAGTCTGAAGGCAAGCAGGCCAAATCAGCTCCAATTGTTTCAGATGGACCTACAGAACCACTGAAGTTATTGTCCATAACTGAATTGTGTGGCACTGACGTAACATTTCTTTCCGATTCCACCCTGACATCTTTGGAGCCATGCTTCCCTCTTCAAACTTCTCATTTAGAGGTCTCTTATCTAAAAATTTTTTATGCTCGACATTCATCATATTAGATACTGACTTGAGCAAAACCAAACTTTCATCACTGCAAAACTCAGGCCCTCCATATTTGGTCACATCAACAGCCATTTTCTGATAAACAGAAGGAGGTGTAAGGTTCTTCGCAGAGCATGGAAAGGGCATTAAAATGTCCAGTTTTTCACCCCGTGTGGTTTCCTTTGTATCAAGCAAGCAAGCAGGTCCAATTTTTGAAGACAATTTTGTTGTTGGTGCATCTGGCTGAAAAACCAAGAAATACAATATACGATGATAATTTTCAAAATATGTAGGTCAAATGATAATTATGTCATTGCATTGCTTGCCACATGGGTGTATAAACATGCACAACCACATGCACATGGTATCCCCTACAGACCAGAAGCAAAGTGAAAAATGCCTGGACATATAGGGGAGATGTGGGAGCAGAAAATTACCAGAGGAGGAGAATTCTTCACACATGATTTTATGTGATTGGGAACGTGGCCTATCAAGGAATCTTGATTGGTCAAAAAAATGTTTCTGATATGAGTTACAACTCTCATATCTTCAATTACCTGTCATCAAGGACGACAGAGGTAAAGCACGCTATTAATTATCAATTAAATATTTTAACTAAAAATAGACTAGAATCATCTTACTTTATTTAAGGAGCCAAGCTGAACAACTCCATGTGGGGTAATAGCCACAACAACAATTGTCTACAAGGCAAAACAGGGCTTTATTAATGAAATATCATCATGCAGATCAAATACTAAAGCAATGAAGCCAGGAAATAAACCTCCATAAGAATCATTAGTTTTCCAACACTAAGTGCACCGGAAGTCTCATCAAAATCTCCACAGATTTGCAATATCAAACTATTAACTAATGCCTAAGGATGCAGCCAAGTATGGCTCTGATCTGGTTAAAAATAACAATGAGCCACAGAGCCAGAGAACTATAATAGCTTCACTAAGCATTAGGTACTAAGCATATTAAGCACAATTTTTAAAATATTGTCAAAGTTTACGATCCTTAGTAATGTAATTCTAATTTAAAGGCAAATGTAAAGAATTCTCTCTTTCAGTACCCATTAATTTTATTAATTCAAAACCCATTAAACTTTAATAAAAGAAAAAGGAAGATTACTTACCCTAATTCCAGCATAAAACTGAGATTGCCATCCATCGGCGAACTAAAATAAAAAAAACCAAAGGAGAAGAAATGAGAATGATTGGAAAGTTGTGGACAAAGTACCAAATACCAATTAGGGCGCCTTACCTCAAAGGACGAACCAGAACTCGTAGCATGATCATCTACATAGATCCACTGATGCTTCCCAGTGAGAGCTACCTGTCCAACAATACTGTAAAGGAAAGGATCAATACAATAGGTAGATCGATTTTCTTTTCTCTTTCTTTTTTTTTGGACTGAAGGTAGATCGAATTTAACTCGGTTACAAAATATGGGATACATAATAGATAAAATTAATCTAAAGTAACACCACATTTTGTTAAATTAATTGGCCATACCCTTCCCCTATCGAATATACTTGATATGACATCTTTGAGACCACCAAGTCAAGAGGATCGTGAGGAAAATTCCCACTGTGAAACTGTTCCATGGTCTTCTGGTAGCACTCATTACCTAAAGAATCATAATGATCAGGGTTGTCATAGTAACCGTCCTCCCATGTTAGGATCCTGTGAGTAAATTCCACAACCAGAAAATAATTTAACGGAACGCTATGGTATTTAACTTTCCTACTCTGGTACTATATAACCAACAAATCAACTGACAAAATTTTGCATGAAAGACTGGATCATTACACAGGTGACTGTTATATAGCATATGCACTGCTTAAAAGATGCCAATAAAAAATGCAATCCTTGGCCCAGAAAGAGAACGCACAACAATGGAAAGCAACATAGGGAACCCTGATAAAACACAAGGACATTAGTATCCATCAAAGAGTTACTTCTAACTTCATAGTTTTCGTTGAATGGAAGTAGAAGGAACTCGAGGGCAAACACTATTTCCATATTAATCTCGATACTCAGTGTCCCCTTATATATTAATAAGCATTATATACGTTAATCATCCAGGAATCATGTTAACGAACAGATAAAACCGACGCACATAAATTACCAACTTGTAGGACAAAACAAAAAAGGACAAACATTTTCTTTGTAAAATCATTCATACAATTAACAGTTGATAAATTACCGTGGGCTCTGAGTATTAGGAAAAATCCAGCAAATATAACCAATCCTATTAAATTGTCCCGCACTTAAAATGGCCAAGTAAAATTCCCAACCAAAAAATGCAAAGCAACGTGAAACTTAAACTCCTTTTATTACGCATTGTCAGCATCCGAAATATTAAGAGATATGAATCAAAAGCAGACGCAATAGATGAGCTGGCAATGGCACCCAAAAAAAAAAAAAACGATGGATGAGCTAGCAAGGGAAAAGTTGACGTACATCCGATCCCCATGTTTGAGTCTCCAAAAGACGGCGTACTTCCAATCAGTATTTAAACAGAGACTTCTGAGTAATTGACGTATGTTCGTAGCCATCTTCTCAGAATTTTGACGACCCGAAGAAGCCCCGAAGAAAGGGTTATTGATT